AACGAAGATTTTGCTATTCGTGCCATTCAATTTATTCTCACTGTAACATTGATAATTGGACTAATGATAAAAAGTTATATTCGTGTATTGATGATAGCCACATATTCATCGATTATCTATCAGTTCTGTTTATTTATATATACGATATGTGCTACAGTAGTAATAGCAAAACGTACACCAACAAAGCAAGATCTAATCGATTATGTAAAACAACAGAACGGTACTAGACATCCCAAAGAAAACGTTATTCGATTTATGGTTGAAACAGCTAGATGTTGTGTGGTAGATCAAAATTCAAATTTGATTATTACTTTATATCCACATGATCCAATGGGATGTTTTGGTGAGTGAATAAATAGACTTTTTTGAGCAGATAATCAATGTACAATCAAATTATTGATAGAAAGTTGTTTTGTGACGCTAGCAAAGGTGAACGAAGCGTGAGGAAAATCGGGAAGTTCATGAGACGAGGGATATATTTTTAAAAGATTACGATGAACGAGGCGAGGCGAAGTGAGGCTTAGCATTTTCACGTATCTGCGAAAAATTAATTTTTTTATTGCTTTTTAACTGCTCTAGAAAAAAACATTTATATTTTTTATGAATAAACCATTGTGAAGTACATCGCTTTTCATGAATTATACGATGCTTGAAAAACCTTTTTACAGTCATGACTAGTACGAAATTTTAACTGTCACCATACATGTCTCGACTGTACGGCGGACTAAAGTGTTGACTTTAGTCCGCCGTACAGTCGAGACATGTATGGTGACAGTTAAATTTTTGTTACTTGCGACGACGGGGCCGTTTTTGTCGTAAAGACTAGTCGGGACGGTCGTCCGGACTAGGAAAAAAGACTAGCCATTTCACCCGTCTTTTGCTTATCTGGGAATCAATTTAAATATGAATGTCTGGCATGACTTCATAGAATTACTTTAGATTCTAAGGATAAAAATGATACGATGGTGAAAAAAACACATAAAGAAATATTAACTAATCGTCAGCGTATATGTTGGCCAATATTTCGAATGATTCAAATAAGAACTTATACGGCTATCTGGTTAGAATTTGTCGTGCGAATTGTTAGTCTCATATTTGTCTACATCTATTATAAACAACATTCATGTGCATTTAAAAAACAAAAATTAGAAGAAATGGATAATGATGTAATACCTGCTAGCGTTACGCCACTACCAGATGCTGTTAATTCTTCTACACAAAAAGATGGTGCTTATTAGACTATTTGTCCGAACATTGTACAATGTAATGTGACTATTGTGTAAATTCTAAATTATCAAGTGTTTATCAAAAGATAAAGTATATTTCAGGAAAAATATTTCTATAACGTGCATTGATTAAAATCTGAGTGGTATCTTGTCGGACATGAGGCAAAAAGTGATTATTTTAAGAAATGATTTCGTTTCAAAACAAGTAGAAACAAAGAACATGATAACGATTATAAATGTTCTATTGTGAATAAGTAAAGTACTTAGTTTTTACGGATATCAAGTTCAGTATCAGTAAGCTAACTATGTTGATATCAAGATCTAATGGAGCAATCACATATCAGAACATATCAACTCTGTAATAATACTATATGAAAGAAATGAATCAATATATATATATGTTGCCAGAGAAACTGAATTCCCTTAAAATTTAATTTCTTCTTCAACATATATATATTTATTAGTATTTACACTGTAATCCTGAATTAATTTCCAGTTTTCGAAGATCGACCGAAAAAATGCCAAGAATTTCGGCCATTTTCTACTTTATAGAAAATCAATCGGATTTTTATAAATAATTTCCAAGGATCTGGAAATTCGACTTTGATTTTCTATAAACTAGAAAATTCCCGACGATTTTCTAGAAAGTGGAAATTCGCACAGGAATTTCTAGACTAAATACTTATTCATCTTTTTGTTTTGGAATCAGTGGAGGTATAAGTGCGTCACGTAAAGACACTCATATTACAC